ATAGGCTAACGCAAATAAAAATTTGCTGCTACAACCAAAAACTGATTGCTGCAGCCGATTAAAAATGCTATACCATATTTTACTATCTAAATTGTTGCAGCGACCAATCTTTTCTTTCAGTGTATACAATGGAATTTTCGTATAAATATGATATGAAATCATTATGCAAAAAAAACAGAATATTAATATTTGTACACTCTAAAAAATATCGGTTTGAATTTAACATCTCTATTATGGATTTATCACCCATATGATGCCTATATAATTCTCACTGTGTTAGTATTAATATTAACACTAACACAACATGATATGGATTTTACCCATGGTATTGAACGCGCATCATATTGATGTTAACCAAATTAATATTAACACCAACATAATGAAAATTATATAGACACCGCTGTTTTTTTTAGAGTGTAATATTCGAGCACATTTTTCATCGTATTTTATTTATTTAATAGAATGTTACTCCATAAATAATCTTTATGCACTCAGTGTGTATGAAATATAGATAACTGACTCGTTGAAATGTTTTAAAAAATTAAACTGGAACTCGAGATGAAACGATGAAGTACTATTCAATTATTAGAGGATATGCTCAAGATCATCGCTGGAACGGTCACGAATTACATTTTGCTTCGACCGGGCTGCCATTGTCGGGTTCATCGTACCTGATATCACGGCATTCTCGTTGGCTGAATTCTTTATTTCTTCTTCCATTTGGCCGACGAGCGAGGTCAAGCGATTACCGACGTACGAAAGTCAAGGCCTTTCTTCGGGAGACCCGGTCTCGTCTCGGTTATCGACTCCAAGGTTGTCGGCAACCTTCTTTCAACGAGGATGACATGAGCAGACAGATCAGACAGATCATACCGGTAATTCGTGAATACTTGCAAGAAAAAAACTGGCATCTTAGACGAGAAACCTACGCGACCGGTTTTTCATATTCTTTTATCTCTTTGAAGAATTGCTCTCCTGTTAATAAATGTATAATTACGTTTGAGATATACTTTAAAGAATAAAAATATATAAATGAAAAAATATACGAATAAACGATAAGATTGTCTCAGGACTTCAGCCATATTGACTGGACTTTTTCGTAAAAAAAACTCTATTGATTTTTGACTCATTGACATCGGTCGAACTTTTTGTCACATCCAATCATCGATTAATTAGCGCGATGTTCAATTAAATTAATTCAGTTACCATGGGATGTAAAAAAAAAAAAAAGAAATGGAGAGAGAAGAAAGGTGATCAAATACACACGAAGTCAAATGAAAATAATTGTAACTCTTCATCGAGCAACTCTGTAACTGATCAGCATTAATTAACTTCCTCTATCAACGTTTTTCCTTTTGCATTAATCGGAAAAAATAACGTTCTTGCTTTCGCGGTCGCATTATCGGCGTGGCGAAATGACGCGCGCGTGAAATCACGTTGATTACGAAGGGAGTACGAGTCAGCTAATTTCATTGATAAAGGACATTAAATAATTGGGATATTCATAAGTGGCTCGCTGATGGACTTTAATTAGCAGGCGTTTCCGCACGCGCACCGCTAGTTAATTGCTCGGTATAACTGAATTCACAATTTATTCTGCAGCTCGCCGGATTTTATCGTGAACAGCGATAAAGTTGACTTATAATGTGTGATCGACACAATACCGTTACAAATGTAAATTCTAACGAGGACTAAAGGATATTTTGTCGTATAATATTCCAATAGAATGCAATAGTGAATTCTGTGGATTAATTAAAAACTAATTAAGAGATTTGAACGTGCGAATTCTACACGATATCATTAGCTAGCTTCAATCGTTTATAATATTTTGCATTTAATATATAAAACGCACGTTTTTTGGTTTACTATATATAGCTAAAAGATTATAATAATCTCGTTTTTGAAACTTTCGAATGTATTTAATCTTTAGATCATGCTTTGATATTGTCTGTTTGTAGAAAATTCTATGTATCTTTTAGGATGAATTTTTTCTCTCTGTATTTTTATATTTTTAATACATTAAAACAATTTAAGATTAAATATCGTAATATTGGTATTTCTTTAAATTTTTAGGTTACAGAACTTTTAAAATATATTAATGTCGTGGAGGACTATTTTGAAAGACAAAATATAACAATTTGTTATCTGAAATGTCTGCGGTTTTTTATTGCTGCAATCCAAAGGCTTTAATGTCAGAACATATTTATTATATCTAAAATTTATTAATTTATGCAAATTTGTATATATTCACTGTCTAGCCACTATAGCTTTCCTTTTAAAGGAAAGCTGAATATTTTTCTCATCGAAAAGAAGAAGCGAAAGAATACGAATTCATCTGTAATAATTTAATATTCGATTAAGCGGTGCAGCTCAGCGGTTAAATGAATTTTTTACGCTGCTTAAACAAGCGAAGATTTCGGCTTAATGGGGGAGAGAGAGAGAGAGAGAAAGAAAGAACTTTCGGGATGCGAGTTAATCGCGTGCGAACGGATACGATAATAAGAGCGAGTATACAGCAAACCCGGACGAGGGACTTTAATTAAGGTGAGGTGGACTCCCCCGATCTCACTAGCCACCCCCCAGACGACGGATTACCCCCGGTAATATTACCGAGTTTTATTGCCGCGAAGACTAAGCCTCGAATGTATTTGCAGCGTGACTCATATTCAGAGCGGTGATTGGACGTAATTCTGAAAATAATCCTTTTTTGGGACATATGTGTATATACAATAAATTATATAAGTTATCAGATATATTTGGGAAATCCAAATAGACCAAGTTCGTTAAACCGCTTTCTTTCGTCTAATTTTATTTCATTACGCACGTCTCTGCGAAGATATATTCCGTAATAATCAATTTTCCAATAATTTGCTGTCACATCATAATGATCTGTTCCCTGACGGTCTCAATTTAAACGAACACTTTAAAAGAATAGGAAAGACTGAAACTGTGATCGAACGTTCGGCCAACTAACTTGCCAATATGTTGTACCTTAAAATACACGCCGTGCCTTTTTTCAACGTGTTTCCTCTGAATCAACTTAAACGAACGGCGAAGTCGATTCGTTGACAGAGATGGATCGGGAAATAACTAAAGGAATCTCGTTACGGTCCTGCCTGTTTCTCGCCTTTCCACGTCCACCATTCTTGTGCGAGAGAGACATTGTTGGTTTAAAGTAAGGCGAGGAAATAGAAGCAAACGAAAGGAACTTTCGCGGAACCTCTATGAGTTACGACAATTTTCCATCATTAAGGCTGGATTGTTCCACCTTTCGGTGAACTTCAGCTCACTATCTTACTCTTATGTTCTTACTCTTTTACTCTTTTGTTTATCCCGAGGTTTGTCCAATAAGTAAATTATCTCATAGTTTATCTAAAGATGGAACAACCGATCCTAAATAAATTAATTTAAGAAATGAGTCGGTGAAATTACATTGTTTTTTTCAAACTCTTCGTACATCGACTAATTAGTGCTGACGAATTAAAGCGTATCTCGTGCGTCACTCGCGTATTTATAAAACAAGTGAAGAATGCGATCGATTTGAAACGCCCCGATCGTCACTCCGTGTTTACGGTATTTGTCAATCGATAGCGGGACACAATAACGTTATGATTTATCGTTAAACTTGTCTGACCTTTTTCACAACGAAGTAATCTCTATTATCGGTAAGAATTAAATAATTCAATTCGGGCTTCAAGAAACTTACCTCTTTCACTATCATTATCATTATTATCATCATCATTATTGTTATTATTATTTTCAAAACCTAATATGAAAACTATGAAAATAATGTTACATTCTATTTATTTACATTTTATTTTATTATTTTTTTAAATCCGTATAAATTTACTTTTTAATATCGTGATATTATGAAGTTGCAATTTTTATATTAAAAAATCACTTTTCCTGAATTTCATAACGTAAATTTGTAAATTTTGATTTTATAATTTCTTTTAATTCATTATTATTAGACTTATTATTATATTTCCCTTCATAATTGCTAAATATAAATATATAATAGATCGATTAAAGAATCCGTAAAAACTTGTACGCTCCGCGTTGTTTCATTAAAAGAAGTAAATTCGGTTATTATTCACATTTGCGCCGTACGCAAATTCATATCGCGCTGCATGAATTTCATCGACGGGCATTTTCGACAAAATAATAACCGATTTTTGATTAAGCTTGATATAATCTTCGTTCCGAAGTGCTCCGAATTTTCATCAGCAAAAAGTGAGCCGGTCTGCATTTTGCTCGGGGCGAATTTTCATCGGCGCGAAAATTGGGTTCACGTTGACACGACCGACGTGTCATGTCACAGCAGCGGCGTCTCTGATGTTTTGTCAGCTTGTCACGCCGCCGAGAAAAATTCTCCCATCGCTATCATTTTCGCAGTCTCATACGAGCGAGACGGCGCGACGATCTCGTGTCAATTTTCATCATCGATAAAAATCCCGCATCCTCATGATTAATATCCATCGGTACGTTGCTGCCATTCTCATCAAATTAATTAGCGAGCGAATCGAATTTAGCTTTGACAATTTTTCTAACTAGAATTTCAAAGATTATCCAAAATTTGCAATTGTCGCTTTTACGAGACATGTGATTAAATTAATTCTTTATATTCATCTTTATATTCATTATAAAAACTTTTTGATACACCCTATATTTCTTATTGCTATCTGATATAAAAAGTAAGTTTTAGGCTTTTAAAATTTGATTATAAGATGGGGATGTTCCGATCTCCAAAAGATCGATCTTTCTAAAAAACAGTAGCGATTTGAAACTGACCTATTTTGCGAAAAATTGATTCTTCTAACTAAAAGAGTATTTAAAGTCGATTTCTTATAAGTCTCTGTAAAGAATTGCTTTTTTTTTTTAACAAAGGAAGCTATTTCGGAGCGATCTTTTTGCAAAAAATTGATTTTTAGCAAATTGATCTGGAGATAGTACATTATTATTGTACAGATTTATAATTTGAAACATATCGTTGTTTTCAGGCCTCAAGTACCTTCACTCGGCCCGAATTCTCCACAGGGACATCAAACCTGGAAATCTCTTAGTGAACAGCAATTGCGTACTAAAAGTAAGTCTCGCTCTCGATATTTCAACCTGAATTCAAATGTTAATGACTTTGAATATATCATATATTCTTTCCAATTGGACTCAATAGTGAGGAAATACAGACTAATTAAGGATCTGTTTGTCCGACACAGATGCTTTGTTCCAAATAGAAGCCATATTCTAAATTTAACTATCTAGTTCTAGATTATCCTATTTATGTCGAACGACCAAGCGTACTAAGTGCTCTCTTTCTTCAGATCTGTGATTTTGGATTGGCCCGGGTGGCGGAACCCGACCAGAACGTTCACATGACCCAGGAAGTGGTGACACAGTATTATCGCGCGCCGGAAATCCTGATGGGCGCGCGACACTACACCGCTGCGGTGGACGTGTGGAGTGTCGGCTGCATCTTCGGCGAGCTTTTGCGCCGACGGATCCTCTTCCAGGCCCAAAGCCCTGTGCAACAGGTGAGTAAAACGGACCCCGAAAATTTGGCTTGAGTCTAAAGGGCCTTATTCGCACATTAAACTTGACTTACTCAAAAAGGACGATTCAGCTAAAATATATAAAAATTTAGCCATATATACATATATGTAGGCACAGATTTAAAAATAACTTCGTTATTTTTACCACCGACATAAGATAATTTTATAAGTTCAAACTAGTTATGTTAGAATGTCAAAACTTTTTACATCACTTATTATGCTTGAACATCCTACATAATTATTTTGATGGTTTAATAATATTATTTTCAGATCTGTAGCTATCTTTAAGTACTTCAGTAAAATCATTCTTGATGTGCATGATTCCGGTTACACGAGATATCAGTAAATATATCTCATATCCATTTCTATCAATGTAGATTAACTGTAACGGTTTAACTTACTTTTCATCTTTTTTAATTACCTATTGAAATTCGAAAAAATGAAGTTGAATCGAGATTAAAATTAATATACATTGGTAGAAATACGTATTAGTTAGATATCGTGAGTATTTTACATCGGTAGGATTATCTTTAACTAAAGCAATGAGAAAACGTGCCTTCTATCTTGGTCTCAGCTCGAATTAATCACGGAGCTGCTGGGTTCGCCCACTCTTGAGGAGATGAGGTATGCGTGCGAGGGCGCGAAGTCTCACATGCTAAGAAGGGCGCAGAAGCCGCCGTCGCTCGCGACCCTGTATAATCTTAGCAGCCAAGCGACGCACGAGGCCGTCCACTTGCTCTGCCAGATGCTAGTCTTCGATCCCGTAAGTCTTTGCTTAACGCAAAAATAGATTGTTTATTCACATTAAATCTTACACTATTCTCATTTTACTTGAGTTCACTTTGTTCGATGAATAAATTTTAACTTCAATTTACACAATTGTTACACATAAAATTAGGTGTGTGCCGAGCCTCAAAAAAATCTTTTTAGAACTTTTCACTTTGATACGGATAGTATTCAGTTTAGTTTATTTAATTTATTAATATATATATAT